GTACAGTCAATGTGGCCCGTTGAGGGGGGCCAATATGCTGAAGTGGCCCTCGGTGAAATTGAGTTTGACACCCCTGCCCTATAGCGTCTTTGAATCAGTGAATTTGCTCAATAATACTTCTACCCAGAAAAAAAGACCAGGTCACATAGTTAAACTTCCCAAAAATAATGGAGGATGAGTGTATGTAAACTTCTGACTGGAACTCCACCACCTAAAAGCTCGGCTGGTTTCCTATTTGTGTGGATCAGTCCTTAAATCTTTCATTTAGGAAAGCTGTTGCACAAAGAGTTGACCAGAATAATGTTGGACATATCCACTTACATAATTTCACAGCCATCAGGCTGAAAACCAGCACTTCCTGTGGCCATGGTTGGACTTGACGCAAACCGCCTAATTCATCTATATCTGGCTGCTGTTGTGGCAGCCTGGTGTTTTGTCATGATTGGACTGCTTCCTGTCCCTTTATCACCAGCTGGGACAGAAACTAATCTTGCTCTACGCACAATCACAATAAAACTGTAAGAATCACTTTCACACATGATTTCCACACACACACACACGCACACTGTCTCCTCAACACACAAACCACTGGCATACCAGAGAGCCTATATTTAAAATCAGACCCGGAGATGTTTTTTATTTTTATTTCCAGCATTTAGATATTTTATCAACAGTGGTCAGTGTGGATGCTTGGAGACTCTAAATCAAGGAGGAGCTTGGAAAACAAAAGGTGCCACAGAATATGATCAAGAGAGCAGGAAGGCCGCCCTCTTATAATAAGATAATGATTGCACGATGAAAAACAGGGAGTGTGATTATGAGACGCATGCGCCAGGCCTGAATAGTTACAAATTTGCCACGGCTGCAAAATACCACCTTCCAAACGTGTAGCCGTTCCAAATGCGGCCCTATCATCCCACGTCTCATTTTCAAAGCCTCTCTTTTCTCCCTCTCTCCTCCCACCACAAATCCCAGAACCTCGAGCGACGCACAGAGAAAGAGGGAGAGAAGGAGAAGAGGCGAGGGGAGCGTTTAAATCTGGCGTTCCGTGAGTGGTCGGGTCGGTGTCTGGAAACCTTTCACATCCTGTTTACGGCGGGCAGATTTCAGCCTGGGGACCGCAGAGAGCTGGCAGGGCCCCCGCCTGGACGCGGCTCCTGCCTCTCTTTCCTATCTGCTCCCTGCCCTCCTTCGCTTTTTCATCTCTGCAGAGTCTGCAAGGCCTCACCTCGCCGCCGCCGGATTCAAATTAACACCTTTAAGCTTAGAACAAACACATCTGGGTGTGGCTACCTGAGGCTCGGTGCTGATGGAAAAACAAAGGCTTTTCTGAGTTTTAATATACAGAAACACACGTTTAATAAACCTATGTAGTCATATTTACAGGGTCCAACGTCAAACGGAAAGTTCCAGAGAGTGAAGCATGACTGTGAGGAACAAAAAAAAAAATCCTGACGTCTGAGTCAGTCTGCCAGGAAGGATCCATCTCAGTTTGCAGAGTTCTCCTCTGCTTTTATCAGCGACACTTGCAGGATTTGACCACCATATTGGAGAGCTGCTCAACTCGAGGCGTGCGGCCGATGAAGTACATGATGGTGAGGGGCTCCAGGTCCTGAGGGACGCAGCAGGGGGAGGCGGAGGCCTCCGGGTTCAGCTTGTTGTACAGCGGCAGGATCTGACCAGAAGAGAGACAGGAGAAGATTTTTTATTAAGTACCACGAAAATCTTTTTTTTCTTCTGAGAACGATGAGATCCTGCCTCAGCAAGGGTTTTGGCTGAGGGTTTTGGTTGTTATACAAGAGTTGTGAGGTTGTTTTTCTTACATTGCCAGGCAACTACAGCATGGTTTGACTTTGTGGGAAATAAGAGTTATATAAGAAAACTTGATGCCATTCTCACATTTTTATGGCAAAAGCAAAACAGCAGCCAGAAGACAGTCAACAATACAGTCGTGGCGGAAAGTTTCTGGACTTAGTCTAATAAATTCACATGCAACTCTCTGCAGTCTAAAAATAAGAACCGCGTTAAACCAATGGATCACTATTCAGACTCTTTATTTCATTAAAGCCTTTCTGGCAGCTCCAGATATTTCAGGGAATTATCCTACAAGTGGCACATTTTTCTTCTGAAACGCTTCACCATTCTTCTTGGCAAAAATGTGAAAGTTTAATCGGCCTGAATGAGGAATGTGGATGTGAAGCCAGTTGGGAGTCTCTCTGGAGATCGTCTGCTGGCTCACAGACTCACTCCCCGTTTTCCTGAAGCGACTACTGTGTTCTGCTGGTGGGTTCGGGTCAGCGGCTCTCACACATTTTACAAGTGTTCAGCCACTTAATACCAGGTTTATTATGTAGCACCAGAACATCTGTCATGAAATGTCTTTATCTGGGGGATGTCATGGTGATGCTGGCTTCTCAAATGGATATTCTCTATGTTTACTGATATCCTGATAATCAGTTTGTGAGCAGAATTATAAATATAAAAAATATAAAATATTAGAAACTTAAAATGTAACTAGGATTGAAAAATCAGACTGAATGGACGGACGGATGGACGGACGGACGGACGGACGTATTGATGGATGGACGGACGGACGGATGGACGGAACTAATGTTCAGAATTTCTGACATTTTTCAGGGAACAGGAAATAAAATAAACAAACTAGATATTTTATGACTTTTTTGTATCGTTCATTAATGTCCAGATCTGAAAGATACTTCAAGGACACTCTGTATTTTCCAGATCTGACGGTTCTGCAGCAGCAGCCTTCATGCCCGTGGAGCTGACCGTGTTTAGTCAGCCTGTACGCTGTGTGAGGTGGCAGCCATTCATGACTCTGGGTTGAACCAGCCTCAGCTAACTGAGCTGCTAGCCACCACAAACAACGGTCTTTAAGCTCATTTAGGGGAAAAACATTTCCCACACTTCAAACCATCCATGTATTAAAGTCAGGCAGAGAGCTGATCTGAGCTTGGATCAGGCAGGGGTCCGTTTCACCAGAGACTGCTCAGATTTTTCTTGACAATCGCAGATGTTTCTGTTTATATAATTTGGCTGAGAGTCCACGCTGACATGTCTGTCAGTGTTTCCAGTGAAAATTATTTAGCACGAGAGGCCATGAATCTTCACATTGGAGGGAAATATAATTTGGAAAAAAAGAACTCATTTGTCTTCACTTGGCCTTACTGGAAAAGGTTGTCGACAATCTTCATTCCATAATAATTGGCACAAAACCCCCCAAAACGAAATAAGAATGCAGCGATTTGAAGGTCTGAGGCTATTGGTCAATAGAAAACAGCAGAAAAACCACAAGTTGGATGTAGAAACTGCAGGAAAGTTAGGAAAAAAGCATTTTTTCCTCCTTGTTGCGTCAGATCTTTTCATAACACTATTGGAGTTCGGACTGAAACCAAATGTAGTTTTGAGAGTTAAATGTTTTCCCATCGTTTCTTGATATATGATTTCAGCTGCTGAACAGATCAATTTGCGAGCCAAATGTGTTCGGTGGTCGACATGTCAGAACCGCAGACAGATTACAGAACCAGCTGGAGGCCTTTACTACAGGGACACCCGGTTTTAATACGTGCAGAAAGGGGTTTAGGTTTTTGAGAGAATCTTGCTGAAATAAGCAAAATAAAACACCTAAGAAACGTCAGTCTGACGTTGTGATGGCGTTCTGGGATGGTTTTACATGCTGGTATGTTTTTATCTTGTCATTGCCAAAAGTGAGCAGGGGATGCTGTGCAAAACATTCAAACCACCAATTTCTTCTTACTTTGCTTCAAAGGAGACAGCTCTTCTTAAAATCTTCAGTGAATTAAGATTCATCAAAAGAAATAAAAAAGTAGGTGTTTGGAGAGTAATTAAGAGCAGAAACGTCTATTGGTAGATGTTTGGCTGAAAAATGTGTCACATTGTAAGAGTTTCACATCAGTTAATATCAATAACTACATCATTTTTTTTGTTTGTTTTTTAAATATTTGAAATACTGCCAAACTGGTGGTGTGAATTTTTCTTTTTTATCCACAGTTTTCACCCTGTACCATCATTTTTTTTTTTTTAAGCAGATATAAGGCACGATGACGGAACCTGCAGTTGCTCAACATGTTGTTGCTAGGTAACCAAAGAGTTACCTAGCAACGTTTGGTGAGTTAGACTCCACCAAACTTTTCTTAGCTGGCCGTGAGTAGTTGCGCAGCTAAAGTCTTTCCTCTGCCTACATCTCCCAGAATGCTGTGCGTTTCTGGATCAGAGTACAGTAAATAGTCTATATATTGATTATTGAACCCATTTCTCAGCCTGCAGGTTTGCTTCTAGTTCCTAGAGTTTCTAAAAGTAGATGCAGATTCTGTAGGTATCAGGTTCCTCTTCTGTGGAACCAGCTCCCAGTTTTACACCCTGTCTACTTTTAAAATTAGGCTTAACAAGTAAATACAAACATATAGATTTTACAGGATCTGTGATCACAAAATAGTCACAAAATCCTGGATCGGTGCATCTCCAGTGCTCTTAAGAATCTATTCTTCACAAACCAGCCAGAGTGTTCATCTCCAGTCACACATTACTTTAGCGTTTGAGCCCGGAAACCCACCATGTTGTAGTGGTTGTTGGCGCTCCAGAGGTACGGACAGTTACCAGCGCAGAAATTGGCTTTGTAACCTTTTGGCTCGTGGATCCACTTCCAGTTGAGGTCCCGCCTGAAGTCGATGTAGAGCGAGCGCAGGCAGCAGCCCTGCTCCGACCCTCTGGGAAACACAAAGGCAGATGCACAAAGTGACTTTTCAGCTTTCCATCCCGCTCTGCAGGGCAGCAACCCAGATCTGGGTCATGGGAAAATTACAACAGGTTACCGCCATCACAAAGTAATGAGCATGCAGGGCTGCCAGAGTTTTCTCCTGCAGCACGGGGCAGTCTAAATAAAACACTGCACACCCGTCGGCCTGCTCTCTAAACACAGAGTCAGGGCTGTTAGGGTTGCCACACAATACTCAGCAAAGTGGGTCAGGAGGGGGAAAAAAAAAAGAAATATGGCATCCACCGCAGCTATTCTTCAAAATGACCAAACTGAAGACAGTGGAGGAGTGTCAGAGCTGTCAGTCAGAGAGAGAAACCCGCACACGAGCGGCTGGAAGGCGGCCTACCGGGAGCAGGTTGTGGTCTCTGTGGCTGCCGCCCGCCGCTTACGGTTCTTCTTGGCCGGGTTGTCCACTCGGTCGCTGGGCAGCAGGGTGAGGATGAGGTGTGGCGTCTTGGTGCTGAAATCCGGCTGGCCTTTAACCTGACCGGGCTTCCTCATCTGACGGAGCCGCTCGTCATCGACACCTACAGAAAGCGACGAGACGGTCAGATGAAAAACCACCAGCTCTTCTAGAATTCACTCCAATTCAGATAAAAAGTACTTTATTAATCCCGAACCTTGTTGTAACTCAAATTATTCCGGATTCCTCAAAATAGTTATTTCCAGTTGTTACTTTGATTTTATGTGATAAATCAAAATAACAAATTGCAAAAGTTTTTACACATAAAATCTGAAAAGTGTGGCATGCGCATGTATCTACCCCCTCTGAGTCGCTTCTCGCTCCACATGCGGCTTTACGTGTTTTGATTGAGATAGCTAAAGCACAACATCACACTTTTCAAGCTGAACCACAAATTGTCATTTGAAGTTTAGGTGTATACTTGAACTAGGCCATTCTGGATGTACAGTTTGGGTTATTCCCCCTGCTGGAAAGCGGGACCTTCGCTTCAGTCTCAGGTTTTTACTGCCTCTGACAGGTTTCTTCTGTAATTGTTCAACCAAAAGCATTCCCACAGCATGGTGCTGCCTCCACCGTGTTTTACAGTAGGGATTTTGTTATCAGGTCAGGAAATATGCAGTGTTCGTTTTTAAAAAGGTTTGGTTGTGCTCATTGTTTGCTCACTAATGTTCTCTGACAAACTTAATTGGCTTCTACTGAATATAAACTCTTGCCACACAAAAACTAAATCATTTTAAAATATTAAATATTGTTTTCCTCTTTACACTTTAAACATTAAAACAAAAATATAGAAATTGAGAGAATTAAAATGCTTGCAACTAAGCGTGCACAATGTGTCACTGGGTTCACTTTTAGTGACCGTACCACTAAAACGCGTACAAATGATAACATCTAAATGCAAAGTGTTTGTTTCTCTATAATTATGAACGCAGACAAATACTGCATCTGTGCTTTTCTTTCCCCAATGTGCTTCGTACTTCTGAGGAAGGCAAAAGAAAAATCTTATTTTCCAGGTTTTGACATTTTTTAAGGAGTAAACGAAGCATAAAGGAATGCGATACAGATGTTCTGCATAAGAATTTTTTTTTAAAAAATCCAGCACTGACGACCTGACAGTTCGTCTGACTTTATGATTTTACTGTCTCTTTTTGAACCACCAGAGCACAAACACAAGCCCTTGCTTGTCTTCCGAGTATCACAAATTGCATGTTTTTTTTCAGAGTGTGAGAAAAAAAAAATCAGACTTGGCAGAGCCGAGTGCAAATCCTCTGAGCGCCATAATTTGAGGGCCTACATGAGGCAACACAGACAGTCTGGAATTAAACAGTATCTCAGTGTGCGGAGGAACAGTTTCGCATTTATTCCTGCACGATAGTGAGCAAGTGATTCATGGATCCCTTTTAAAGCTTCTTACATAATATTCTCCTCTTTGAGTTCACAGCTCATGATCTGGAGGATGGATGGTATAGTAATAAATCTGCAAGGCTGCATTTATCATTTTCAAAGTGATGCAGCAGAGGTTTAAGTTTGCTCCTTTTGTGTTCTGCGGTTCTCCATGCCGTTTATTTTCACATGCAAATAATGTGCAGTCATGTATAAACAGTCAACATCTAAACAAACAATGTGAGGCCCACAAAAAAGGCAGGAGTCCTGCTCACCAGGCTGGACCTCAAACGCATAATTAATCTGAAGCCAAGACATGAGAACGAACCAGCGAACAGCGCCTCCAGCTCCTCGCTCTTGTTAGGGACGATGTTGTTGGTGGATGGGACGAAGGTGCAGCAGGGACAGTGGACGCCCAGCTTCAGGCCAAGATTGTTTTCTGAAGAAGAGCGCGGCAGGAAAAAACATGAAGATGAACCACACAAACAGATGTTTGCATCATAAGCGGCAGGAAGCTAACCTGGATCTGACACCCAGTCTTTGATTGTTTCTGTGACGTCCAAGGAGAGCCAGGCTCCTTTAGCTCTCAGCTGGACGGTCCGAGAGTCGATGTAGCGCTGAGTGGACGTGCTGTCTTCCTCTGGCTTCAGTATCTGGAAGAACAAACCCACAGGAAGAAAAGGACAGAGTTCATGCACTCTGGCAGACGGAACTGGCAGACCAGTCGGAAACACAGGAATCACATTTTGTATGGTCAGTGAATAACACGGCCTTGCTAACTGGCTAGCTTTTGCACGTGCAACAGAAAGTGTGTTTGTGTAAAACTAACATCTGCTGTTCACACAGGCTGACACTTAAACAGGGAACTTTATGAAGAGTCCAGATGACTTTGGGTTTAAGGTGGACTTCAGCAGACAGCAGGATGACTGAACAGATTTTAACCCTTTCATAAAACATGCTGGGTTAAAAAAAGCTCTGCCAAACATTAGATTATATTTAAAATGTTAGACATATATCTAGACGTGATGCTGCTCAGCCTAAGACATGATAACTCACTGAGTCAGAGAAAACTCTGCTCTCCTTATTGCATTTAAAGAGCAAAAGTTTGTTGTTTTTTTGCACATTATGTTTTTGTTCTTATATTTGTCCAAATTTGGACAATGCAGCTACTTTTTCTACTTAAAAATGTTTGGTAAATTTTTGAACTATACATAAAAGCTTTAGATTCAACTGCACATTGTACCATGTTTATGAATTCCTACCTAAAGTTAAATGAAAACTGCAACAAAAAAAAAGTTAAAACACACAGAGTCAGGAATCTGCAGCAACCAAAACAGTCTTCCTATTACTACTGTTGAAAAACTTCAAATCCACATAAATTAAAAAATCTCCAATACTAGAGTTTTATGATAAATTTCTCCATTTCTACACTTTCTTCATCACTCCACACCAAAAAAATTAATTGATTTGTTTTTAGGGTCATTGTATAGTTTTATGATTGTTGGAAGCAAAACAACAAATTTTAAATACCAATTTATTTAAGAAACATTTGGAGCTCAGTGGTTGAGAAAATGCCAACACCATGTTTGTCTTCCTTTGTAACAGGGAACTGGTCGTCTGATGCTACACCACACAACGTTAGCAGTAAATTAAATCACAGGCAGGTCCTTCACGAATAAGTACAGGAAATGGTCTGCTTTCAAAATAAAGGCCACATTAAAAGAAAGTTTTTTTCTGAATGGTAAGTCAACAACAAAACTCTTGTATTTCCTAGCGGATATGGTGCAGCACACACAGCAGTTAAACCAGCAAACCAATCGTGGTGCAGCTCAGTTTGGGTTGCTAGGTAGAAGGAGGGGGGAGATTTTAACAATTTAACAATTTCTTCATCTCTATAACTTGTGGAAATAGATTTTAACCATGAAACATGTGAAGCATGGACAAAGTGTACCTGGTAGAGCTCCACTCGTTGCTCCGAGGCCCGAGCCTGTGGGTTGGGAGCTCTGAAGATCCTGAACTCAGCCTTGACCAGGGTGCTGTTGATCAGATCCACATCCCTCACGTCAAAGTGGACCACTCGGTAGTAGAGGTTCGGTGCCGCCGGCTGCAAGGCATCTGGACGGGAAAGAAATCCAGAACTGTGACTAACGGTCAAGTCTTCAGACTGTGGGACTGATGCATTGTCTCGGACATAATTACTGCTGATGAGAGTCTTCAGGCTAAATTACAGGCTTAAAGTGTTGGGTTTTATGTATAACGTATGGATGATTGATGGGTAGAGTGCATGAAAAATCACCCGGTTATGTAATCACATAATACCCAGCTCAATTACCCTTCAATCTGCCACAGGTCTGTTAAACCAAAACCCGCTGCCACCACAAAAGCTAAATGGTTCCTCTGCAGCAGCGCAGCACACTGGATACCCCATCTTAGACAACCACACTTTAAATGCGCCAAAAACTTTTATGAAATGAAGCAATCCCACTCTCAGGGAAGCTTTTTTCTTGTTAGAGTGGTTGATTGTCTATCAACCTCTACATCTAAAAATACAGTAATCCAGGAGCGATCCAATTAAGAACCTTTTCCTATCCAATTATTAATCAATTAATCCAACAATTAAACAGAGCATCCCTACACCTCACTGATGTAAAGTCCATCAGAAAATGTTAGTATTTGTAGTATTTTTAGTTGCATTCTTTGCTACAAATGATCAAGTGTGCACTAAAGGAATGCTATGTTATTGCATTTTAGGCAGTAAAATGTTTATTTCCTTATTTTAAAAAATAAATATAATTATCTGTTTATTTGCATTTTTAATGTACTTCTAAGATTGTATAAAATTAGCTTTTGTGGCTTAATAAAAATCTGTAGAATGTGGCAATTTTTTTTATCCGATTTATCAATTAATTGTAAGACTAATTACGATTAGTCTTACGATTAAGACTAATTGAAAACCAGAGACGAATTTCAGTCAGATAGGGATTGCAGACATTTATCACTATGGAAACCAGGGACCCTGCATGTGATGAGGAGGTTTAAACTTGGCAGAATAAAGTTTACACGTTGATTTTTAAAGTACAGCTCACATGTACCCTTCAAACACAGAGTATTTCTTATTTTGAAAGTGATAAAACACATAAAGAAGAACCAACATTCTTCTAAAGGATTAATTTTTACTTTCACATCAAAACTAACGTAAAATACTAACACATTTAAGAAACTTGGGGTTTGTAATTAAGCTAAAGATTATTTGATTACTAAATTAGTTGATTATTTAATTTGGACTCTCAAAAATAAAATATTCATAATTCATGTTTGGATCCTACTGCAACCAAACAATTAGCCATGAAATAAGAATTATTTAGCCTTTCAAAATAAACCTTTTTTTCATCGTTTGATCATTTTGGGGGCGCTAAAACTCTGATCTATGTTTCTCTGTAATGAACCATTTCAAGGCGTGGACTAAAAAAGTAATGACAAACTTTGTGCACCCAACAGTGATGCAACATCAACATTTCTCCAGGGATTTTTGGAGAAATTAAAGTAAAGAATAGGGAGATTACTGATGGTTTAACAGTTTTAAACAGTAAGCCACTTTAGGTTTAACCCTTCAATAGTCATTACGTTTCCTTCCCTCACTGAAATTCACTCCATATACTGACACCTAGTGGGAATCCAGTGTAAATGATCTCAGCCCATAAATCTGGCAGCTAGAAATAACCACAGAGAATCACCTGGGAATCGATTAGATTGTCTCGTTACAGGGAAATAAAGTGTAAATCACACCAGTGAACAGTAAATAAAGAATATACGGTGTTTACATTCTGACGGGTCGATTTAATGTTGGGAAAAATGTAATTTATCAGCTGGTAAAATGTTAATTTAAAAAAAAAGAGAGAGAAATTACATAAAAATACGACGTGATTTACGTTTCGCGTCTTTTCTTATTTCATAAAGCTAAATACAAAGGATGACATAAAGCGTCTGAGGTTGGGAAGTGGAGCTAATGTTCAAGTCAAATGAACATTAGCTCCACTGATAAAAAGTGGAGCTGATAAAAAGTGGTTATAAGACATTTAATTTCTATAATTGTATTTAAACTCATAATCTTCAGTTATGAATTAAATTGCCCCTGTGGTTTTCTCTCAGAAAGAGATGCATATTAGTTATTAGTTATTCATTTGTCTTTTTTTTTTTCTCCAAATCTAAACACACGTGTTCACCTCAGAGGGCAAATCAAATAAAAATATATTGTCTTTAATTATTAAAACAGTGACGACCGTGCATTAAAACACTCTGGCACTAAACCATATGTACGGCTGACCCCGTTGATCTCCGGACACTTACTGGAGTCGGTGCGGGGGGGCTGCATGTCGATCCTCTGCACCTCTTTGGCATAATAATCCTCCTCGCTGCTCTCGCGCTCGCAGGCGGACTCGGCCAGCCGCGTGCGCTCCTTCAGCAGCTCCCGCGTGCTGTTGTAAAGCAGCATGACCTCGGGTGGCACGGAGCCCGACGGCGGATCGTCGTCGTCCTCCGGCGGGCTGCGGATGCGCAGCTTGCTGAGGATCTGGCCGCGCACCGCCTCGATGCGCCGCGACTTCTGCGCGTCCAGGTCGATGGACTGACACGTGTTGATCCCCTCGGAGAGCCGCAGAAGGAGCAGGAGGGCGAGGAAGGGGAGCCACATGGTCGAGGGGATGAGGGAAGAAATGATCTCCCTGAACGGCGAGGCTGCGTCTCCGAACCAAACGCGCAGGAAATGTGATCCAAAAGCGCAAACAGTCTCAACTTTTTCCACCTCTGATC